CTCTCTCTCTCTCTCTCTCTCTCTCTCTCTCTCTCTCTCTCTCTCTCTCCTCTCGTCCCACCTCTCTGAGTTCTTTGATCCTTTTTTCAATTCTTGTACTCTTCTCTCGTCGTTCTGCTGGTGCCGCTTACTATTGTTTACCCCCGAACACAATTGGCCCTCTATGTTTTTCATAACCAGCCTGAGGCAATCCAGCTGATGTGCTATGCTGTTACGGCGGATAGCTGGGTTTCTTGTTTTTCAATCTTTTTTACCCTTGTACCTTTTTTATCTGGCCTATGTGCATTTCTGTACCCTGCTCTCCCCACACCGTCTCTGGACAATGCCCAAAATGCCCCCCCCCCCTCCTCTTTCAATCCTGTTGCCGCCTGGGTGTTAGTGTCCATCCAGCCTCTTCTCCCTCCCTCCTGAGGCTGAAATGGAGTGTGGAATGTGGTGACTCCTTTCTACACCACGCCACGTCAATCTCTGAAACATAGCCCATCTTCTTTGATCAATGCTCCTTTGCCTTGTGCCTGCTGCCCCTGAAAAAGCTTCAATGGCCACTACGTTCAAACCTGACCTGTTCAGCGCAATGGGCCCGGTACCATACTGGTTTCTGTCTGTCCAAAAGGCAATAATGGGGTCCCAACTCTGAAAAAAAGGACCCTCTCCAATGTAATGATGGTCTAATTTGACTACCTGTTTATCATTGGGTCATTTGAACAGGTTCTCCAGTTTATTTATTTATATTTACAGGTTCCCCAATTTATTTATTTATTTATTTACAGGTTCCCCAATTTATCTATTTATTTACAGGTTCCCCAATTTATTTATTTATTTATTGTGTGTCAGAAATCTCGCTTCTGTGACTTTTGGCTCCATTCCGTCTCCTGATTCCCTCTACTCCATGTCTCTTGTTCGTTTTGTTCTTTTTTTTTCCACCGTGCTAGCAGAACCCTTGTTCTGGATGTTGCGCTCTTCAGCCTTCTCCGAAATGCACTTACGTGGCGTGGCTATCGAACCAGTTTTCATCATTGTTTCCCTTTCAATCTACTAATCACCCACTTTTGGGACGCCTGGTCTGTTCATTGTTGTTATTAAGACAACAATGCAGGGAACCTAGTCAGCAATCTGATCAGCAACCTGATCAACGTGATCAAGCAGTCTTGAAAGGAAGCATGATCGTTGCTGTTCCTGCTATGTTTTTTTTTTTTTTGGAACATTTCTCGATTTATATGAAATTATATCACCATTCTATGATGACAGACAAAATGTCATCGAACAGAATTCCCCAGGAAGGTCCAGGAGAGACACGAATTTGACTTTGATTCTTTAGCTAGTGAAAGGCGAGCACAACGTCGTCACTGATATGCTGTCCCGGATAGCTGATCACTTCTGTTCTATAGTTACTTACCTCGATGTTGCGCATGATCTGCAGCAGAGAAGTAGATCAGAAAGACCCTGCGGGTAGCGACGTCATTAACAGAGTAAAGAATAGGCCAGAAGATGCCGCAGAGTATAAGCTAACTAACGGACTGCTATTCATGGCGTTTAAGGGAGAGGACAGCCTATATATGCGGAATGATGAGCCGATTCGCAGCACTATCTTGGGCGAATGCCATTATGCTAATATGGGCATTTTGGCTGGGCGAAGACATATGCCAATTTCCTGCATTCATTTATGTGGGCAATGGTACCCTTTGGCTGTATTTGGTACATCAGGGGATGCGAAGCATGTCAGCGCAACAGGAGCACCACACAGACGCCGTTTAGGCTTGCGGAGACCACTGCCTATTCTCTCAGGACGCGGAGAATCAGTTTCCGTAGACTTCATGCGTAAGGGGACTGCTGCGCTATTTCGGGACAGTATGCTGGGTGCTGTCAAGGGGATGCTTCCATAGCGAGTTTGCCGGAAGTAGTCAACGGCGCTAAGCGCATAGCTAGGGCAAGTGAGCAAGTAGAGGCGAAACTCAGAGGTTGAGATCAGTAAGCTTGAGCGACAGAGCGACCATATGTGTGAGAGCTTGTTGGCAGCCGTTGCTGCGGTTCTTGCACAAAACAATTCTGTGTACTTGAGTTGATTGACCGGATACGTCTCACGTGCACTTTGGTGTGTGTGTGTGTGTGTGTGTGTGTGTGTCATATTGTGCATGTATGGAGTGAGAGCATCATGTATGGTTGGTCTCAAAGCAAAGGCTGCAAGAAATTGGATCCTAAGGTTTGAATCAATCCTCCAAGGTCGTATTCTGCATGAACTTCGAACTAACTAGACCTTCATATGCTTTTCTTGTGCTGTCTGTTGGTTGGCTGTTTGTTGCTTTCATGATTTTCTCTCTACTAGTCCGGCTTGGCTTCGTTTTTGCACACACGACCAATTATCCTGATGAGCCGCCATTGTTGAACATTCGAAGGTAAGATAAAAAAGAGGGAAGGAGGGATTGAGGGAGCTCCTTTGGGAGAAGGAGGGGGTGCATTTTGGAGGGAGGAAATGCATTCTAATCGGGTTTCCCAGGGATCTTGCATCGCTTTCGACAGTGTGTCCTTTGGAGGAAGAGGACTGGTTTTAATGAAATTTTATCTTATCCGTGAGCTTTTTGCAGCTTTCAATGATGCCTTCAGAAAGCTTGGATATGTGATATTGTCCATAGACTCCATAGTATATGTACATGCTTGGTCGATGTCGACTCTGTATGCTATGTCAGCAATTCCTATTTGTGCTGATCGTTTTGGAATAGCATGCATGCATGCATGCGTGCATGGTATTCCACGTAGATAGCCTTGTTGCTATCGCACACAAAGAGCATTGTTGCTATTCCAAATTCCATGGTACTTCCGAATAATCGCCATGAACAGCATGAACTTAAATATCGTGCTGGTTTTTGGCATTTCACAATTGGTTTGTGTTATGGGTTAGCATGTAATAGCATCCAGGATGAGCATGCAGTTCTCTTTTTTGTCTGCTCTTTAAACCGGGCGATGGGCTTGAGATATCGTCGTCGTTGAACGAACCGGGCCCAGGTAATTCAGGAATTATTTCATTTCATGAATCTGGATCATACTTGCGGTGCACGTGCGCCATGCGCCTTGCGCAAATTAGTGCGCTGAGACGGGCGTCAAATTTGTTATAACTTGAACGGGCCGATAATATATGGTCGGGTTTGGAATTCAGGTCTGTGTTTCAGCAGTTATGGGTCACTAACTTAGCTAGGCCCTGTTGGTCTCTCCACGTGATTCCCAGGGCTTCGCTCCACTTCTCACCAGGTCTGTGTTTCAGCAGTTATGGGTCACTAACTAGCTAGGCCCTGTTGGTCTCTGCACGTGATTCGCAGGGCTTCACTCCACTTCTCACCAAATGTGCAAAACTAGAATGAATCTTCCACTAGAACATGGAACCATACGCCGCCATATGTTTTGTCTTTTGTGCATGTGGTGAGTAGAGGACCGAGGTCCTTCGGCCACTGCACGTATTTGTAAGAAAAGAAAAACAAAAAAAGACAATCACGTGCAGCGACCAGAAAGGCCTAGCTGAGTTAGTAACCCATAACTGCTGAAACACAGACCTGAACTGGAATCCAGAGCATATATTGTTGGCGCACTCCTGCCTTGCTCATAATTCCACGACCATCGCTGTCTGGTGATGGCGCTTGCAGATTCTATTCAGGGGCCCTTCCGAGAAGAGACTAGATACAATCCAGGACATGCACACACACGCACACACATGCACACAGTCATGCTTTTTTTGAGTGTATAGCGAATACACATGCACACACAGTTTTCCTGCTCGACGTGGCCCCAATTTTTTTTTTTCTTTCGCACTTCGAATTTTCAGAAGGGAGGGGCACGTTTTGCCATCACCCCCTGCCCTTCCCGAATTTTTCTACCGACCCCTATTTAACAGGTGCGCTGTGCGCAACTCGCGCACACGTGATGCGCCGCTAGTATGATCTGGATTCGAACTCAGTTCTATGTTTGAATTTTGAACAGTTCATGGATGTAGCAACTGATGTAGGCCCGTTGGTGTCACCATGCAATGCTCATTTATTTTCAAAATGATTAATTTTCCCCATTGTACTCCGTTTGTCTATCTATTTTCACTTGTGGGGTTTGAGCAGCTTGCAGGGTATCAAGCAGTCTGATGCAGAGGAATTAAAGATGAAGCTGCAGGAGGAGGTGAGGCAGTGCAGCCAGTGTGGTTAGTCCACTTCTCTGTCTACCCATCCTCCCTCTCTGTGTGTGTGTGTGTGTGTGTGTGTGTGCGGGGTGTGGTTCTTTCTCTCTGTGTATGTGTGTCGGTGTCATTGTGTGCATGTGGAGGGGTCTCTCTCTCTCTCTCTCTCTCTCTCTCTCTCTCTCTCTCTCTCTCTCGCGCGCGCGCGCGCGCGCGCGAGCGCGTGTGACGCTTGCTTGCTCTCTACTGGAGTCTGTGATTCCTTGTTGCTCTTGTCTCTGCATATTTTTTCAATTGTTTTGTGTACCTATGTATTTTCCTTTCTGTGTAAAATTGTAACTATGGCTATGACACGCATCCAGATGGCCATCCAGAAGGTCCTGATTTCCAGTGTTGGGATACCATTCACCAAGAGGCTTGTGCAGAACAAAGAAATTTTGTGGAATTTGCAACCCTTGGTTTTCCAAGAAATCCTGAAAATCCTACCAACGGGCTTTAGCTCAGTTGGTACACTCCTGAACTGTTGAAATACAGACTCAAGTTCGAATCCAGATACTTTCAGATAAGGAGACTCAAATCATTCTGAATTACATGGGGTGGTCAGTTCAATGATGATACCTAAAGGCCGTCGCCCTTTAAAAAGAAAATGAAATCCTGTAAATCGTACTAAATCCCTTTAAAATTTGGAGTCTATGATATCACACCCCGCCAGAGTTGCACAGGCCAACGGTCGGCACCCCTTGATTGGTCGGCACCCCTACCGGTTGACCGCACAAAAAAAAGGGGAAAAAAAAGGAGAAAAAATTTAAAAAATTATGCGAGGGCTTACCCCTTGGCATAAGGCCCTGCAGCAGGCGCGTGCCCGCCCTAAGTGAAGGTGGTCCCCCCCTGAATCTCAATCAGCCCTGAACTCGTCAATTTTTGCAAATCTTGGTGGGCGCCAGACAGTTGCCACGTGCGAGTTGGTTAGATCCGCTTTGCGCGTGACAATCAGAAATATTTACGAGGCTTCCTTGCTCTTCCAGCAACGTGGGTGAAGCAGGGAACACCGCACGTTTTGCCTGGGTGGTTGGGCATGCCTAACCAAATCGGCCCCAGGCCACTGTCTGAACGGGCCTGGGCTCGGACACTTTGGCCGAGACTGAAGCTACTGGGAACTCTGTCTCACGGGGCAAGAAAGTGGGATGCACCCGCCACTTTCCATATAGGAAAGGGTCGGGCTTCCGCCTGGGGGTCGGGTACTTGGTAGAGCGGGCGGCAGTGCTGCTGGAGCAAGCTCTCCCGTGCTGCTGCTAGTGCCAGTGCCGGCCGCGCGAGAGGCAGGGCGCTGCTGAGGGCAGCGCCATAGCCCAGCCCAAGTAGCCGGGCTTGGGCTTGGATAGCCAGCGGGAGGTGGTGGTGGTCTTCGTGTATGAGGGAGAAGACGTGGGTGTAGAAGTCGACGGTGAGAGAGAAAGGGAGATGAGGATGATGATGAGAGGGAACGTACCTGGTCTTGGTGATGGTCTACAAAGGTCGACATCTTCATGTACTTCGGTTCTGCTGCTGTCATCAACAGGCTGCATTGTCAATTCGTAGGCTGGTAGTAGCTGCGTGATCATAGTCTGTGGGCTAGCGCCAATTAGGAGGAAGGGCTCTGGATACATACGTTGGTGGTGGCGAGAGTATGCTCTCATTGACATTCGGATTTGGTGCTTTGGTTCTCCGTTGGTGCTATATAGGTGCATTTCAGCTTTCTGGACAGCGTTGGACTTTCTGGCTTTCAGTGTGATTTTGCATTCTGGATTTCTGTCATTTTGCTATCGCTCATTTATTTTGCTATTACTTCGTTTTTCTTCTTCTTGGGAGTCCATAGCTCCCAATAGCCTCACCAACACCCCCATACACCCCCATACACCCCCCCAACACTCCTAAATCGGCCCCCAACAC